TACTTAAAGGGGGCTTATAAGAAAGATGGGGACAAACATTTTAGCAGGGCCTGTTGTGACAGGACAAGGGGGAATGGCTTCAAACTAAAGGGGGGTAGATTTAGACTAGATATAAGGAAGAAATTTTTTACAATGAAGGTGGTGAAGCACTGGCACAGGTTGCCCAGAGAGGTGGTGGATGCCCCATCCCTGGAAATGTTCAAGGTCAAGTTGGACGGGGCTCTGAGCAACCTGATCTAGTTGAAGAGGTCCCTGCTTATTGCCGGGGGGCTTGGACTAGATGACCTTTAAAGGTCCCTTCCAACCCAAACTATTCTATGATTCTAAAAATAAGCTTCAGATATGCTGTGCATTTTAACTCACAATTTTTAACTAGCTCTGTTGCAGGGGTGTTGCAGTGAGTCTAGCTTGTGATTTTTTTGATTGCCTTGGGGTTGGCAATATTGCAGGTTTCTCAGGTCAAACAAGAAGGGATCTTGTTGGACAAGAAGAGTAGAAGGGAAAAGCAGGAGCCTGTCTTAGAAGTGCCAGTGTTTTCCGAATTGCAAAACCCCATCTCATGTTGTTCATCTTGCTGGAACAGTTATCTGGACAACTTGCCGTTTTAAGTGTGCGGCCCGGCGTCCTGTCTAGCTGGGGCTGGTCCCCACCAGCAGACCTCTATCTCCCATCAGCAGTGGTAGTAGCAGCACAGACCCGCCATGGGTGAGCCAAGGTCTTCCTGCTCCCCTCTGAAGGTGGCAGGAGTAGCTCTGCTCTCTGCACATTGCTCCTTTCTTCCCGGGTTGTTCTTCTCTGTCTCTCTGGCATGCAGCAAAGCTGCAGGTCACAGCTGGCCACACAGCCATCTTCCCAAGAGGTTCTTCCCAACAGATGTGCTTCTCCAGATGTGCTCTGCTCTTCCCTTGCAGAGGTGTACATGTACCATTTCTCTGTTGAGGCTGATATGACCGGACAGGATTGCAGGGCTCATGAAAACTGGCACATTTCTGAATGAAATTGTTCTGTTGTCTGCAATTTGATGTCTTCAGTTTTCCACCTCTTGATTCACTGAGCTGTGACATTGCCTTGTTCTTTGGGAAGAAGTCTCTCTCTCAATGCTAGATCAAAAGGAACCGGTTGGGGTGAAACATTCATTCTGCCTGCTCTGGGCCCGTACATGCTGCATCAATTTTTCAGCTTCTTTATGTTTTTTTCCCTCTGTTTTTTCAAAAGAAAGGTTTTCAAGGGAAGAAGAAACTTTGAGAGAGTCAAGGCGTGCATTTAGACGTCATCAACTGCATCTTTTTTGAGGGATATTTATGCATTAGTCTACAGTTGCTCAGCATTGGTAGATAAGTAATCCTGGGTCTTGAAGAATCTAAAGGAATAGGTTTTCCAGCCCTGAAGATCAACCATTGAGATGACTGTAAATTGCTTTTATCCGAATATTGTTTTTAACAGTCAGTGCTTCCTTTTTACGTTAGAAGATGATGGTGTTAATGTTTTTCATGTGGTCCAGCCACTTGTTTCCTATCAACTTCAGGCTTGTTGGATCATGTCCACGCGCACGCTCAGCCATGGTCACTAGCCAAATACTAGCCACTATGACCCAACCAGCTGGCAGATGTAATACCACAGAGACCAAGGGCGGCAAGGGGAGGAGAACAAGGCAAGCAGAGCTGGAGGTCTGAGCAAGGGCTTTACTTCACCTGACACTGTGACTGCTTCCATGGGGTGTGTGGGCTGTCGGAAACTGCTCTCGTGGTGTTCCCTCACATCTGTTGTTTGAAAATCAAATGACAGTAAATTCTACTCACAGTCGGCATCACTCTCTGGCTTCCCTTTTCCCTCCGTGATGTTCAGGCTAACAGGAGCACAAGGAGGTGTTAATGCTCTCAGCCTTTCCCTTCCTCTTTCTAGGAGCTGAATTTTCTTCTGAAATTACCCAAATGGGAGCCTAATGTTTCTGGAGTGACAAACAGAGAAAATGAGAACTAAGTCCTCTTGGGTCATGAAGGGATTGAGAGCAGCCCTGTGCAGAAGATCTTGGGGATACTGGTGGACAAAAAATTGGACATGAGCCGACAATGTGTGCTTGCAATCCAGAAGGCCAACCATATCATGGGCTGCATCAAAAGCAGCCTGGCCAGCAGGTCAAGGGAGGTAATTCTGCCCCTCTACTCTGGTGAGACCCCACCTGGAGTACTGTGTCCAGCTCTGGGGCCCCCAGCATAAGAAGGACATGGACCTGTTGGAGCGAGTCCAGAGGAGGGCCACAAAAATGATCAGGGGGATGGAACACCTCTCCTATGAAGAAAGGCTGAGAGAGTTGGGGTTGTTCAGTCTGGAGAAGAGAAGGCTCCAGGGAGAACTTATAGCAGCCTTCCAGTACCTGAAGGGGGCCTACAAGAAAGCTGGAGAAGGACTTTTTACAAGGGCAGGTAGTGATAGGACAAGGGGTAATGGCTTTAAGCTGAAAGAGGGTAGATTTAGATTAGATATAAGGAAAAAATTCTTCACTATGAGGGTGGTGAGGCACTGGAACAGGTTGCCCAGAGAAGTTGTGGATGCTCCATCCCTGGAAGTGTTCAAGGTCAGGTTGGACGGGGCTTTGAGCAACCTGATCTAGTGAAAGATGTCCCTGTCCATGGCAAGGGGGTTGGGCTAGATGATCTTTGGAGGTCCCTTCCAATCCAAACCATCCTGTGATTCTGCTCCGGAAGCGATCCACCAGAATTGTTGGGTATTTTGGCCTTAAAAAAACCCAAACAAACCGCAAAAAAACCCACAAGTCTCTGCTCTCAAGAGACCCTCGAATTTTAAGGATGTGTTTTCTTACCCGTGTTGCTGTCTGTACCCCCAACCATCGCCCAACCACACCCTGAGGGGCAGTGACCCCCCCACAGCACCGATCCCCCTCGGATGCTCTCCAGGGCATGGAGCAGTGTTCCTGCCGGCTCTCACGAGAGGCAGGAGCTGGGCTGGAAATGCCTGTTGCCCTTTGGCGACAACCACACTACTGCTTGCTTTGTTGCATACTGATGAGTGCTAATTGGCCTTGGCTTGTTATCAACGTTGTGTGAGAGCTGTTTGCGGAATAGTGGGGTGGGGGCTGGGGAGACCCCAAGGGGCTCCTGCCCTCTGCCAAGGGGTGGCTTCCTGGGGGGATGGGGGCTGAACTGATGCTCCTTGTGGAAACATCTCCATTTGTGAGCCACGGGAAGGCCATGCCTGCTGGCCTCATGCCAGCCTTGGTAGTGGTCCACCTGGCAGGTGGGCTCCCCCTCTGACATGGCAGGAGGTTACAGGGAGTTATAGGGGTTACAGGGAGACCCCTTGTCCTTAAACACACCTGGGGGCGTGGGGAGGAGTCAAGCCCTTTGGGAGGCTGGGCAGCGCTTGCCTGCAGGTCTTCTCGGCGTCAAAGGTTCGGTGCCCCTCTCCTACCCCCATCCCCGGGCACTGCATACAGCCTCTCTGCGTGCTATCTCATTTACCAGTGTTATCCCTGAACTGTTCACCTGGAGCCTGTCTCCTCCTCTCCACTGCCCTTCTACCATTGTTGCAATACCTGGTGTTCGCTGCAGCAGCTGGATATCTCCTGCAGCCATACCCTTTGTCTGGTTGCTCAGCCTGAGCAATGAAGGGCATGGAAACCTCCAGAGGCTGGTCCTGCTGGGGGGGAAAAGCCACCGTGGTTTGCTATAAGCTAGAGAGAGAGGGAGGCTTGATGGAGCTGGCTTGCACTAGTGCTCTTGAAAAAAACCTCTATTGTGCGTGTAAAGTCGTAAGTCTGGCTAATGTGTGATACTGTGTTTGTAGGACACGACGAGCTGATCTTGTGCTGGGGCAGTCCTGGCGCAGGCAGGACGGCGTCCAGACCCGCGGAACGTTGGGACTTTTGCCAGTGGGAGAGTTGTGGTTGTTGCTTCAGAGGCGGCTTTGCTAATTTTGGACGAATGGCCTGCTGACCCTGATGTTTTTGAGCTGGGACTTGTAAGCGACTTTTCTAAAGCTGAAAATCAGTTTACACGAGCTGAGAACGGCGCCCGTAGCTTTTCTGGCGTTTGAATCCTGATTATCCCCCGTGAAGAACAGCAAGTTTCAGACCAGGTCCTGGTGACCACGCTTCGTTTTAATTTACTCTTTCTTTGCTCACGTAATGACGGGAGTTTTTCCAAAGAAAGGACTCGTAAGGAGAGGGGATCAAAGTGTCAGGAGTAGTGGCAGGGAAGGATGGAGCACTGGCCAGGCACAGGGTGTGAGCGCAGGGGATGCTCGGCTGGGGAGCAGCCCTGAGGAACACGATATGGATAATTTTTTTCCTCCCACCTGTTGTTAGGAGCAAATAGGGAGTGAGCTATTGCGCTTCCTCCCCAGCTGCTAACGACGGGAGACTTGCTTATGGTCGTGCACTGGAAGCTAATTAAAACTGGTGACAATGGTAATTGAGTAAGGATGCTTCAGGATAAGTATGACCTCATGTCTAAAATGGTAATGAGGCCTATTAAAATCCCGACCAAAAAGAGAAATGAAAGAGGGAACAGAGGCAAAGGTGGTGCGAGGGGAGCGGGCGCAGGCGGGGACAATACCTGGCAGCCAGAGCGCTGGGAGGGATGGGGAGCACGGAGGTGCCGGGCTTTTAAATGTCCTTAATAAACAGCCTGCTCCTCAGCTAGCCAGGCTGCCGCTTGGGCCGAGCCAGCCAAAGCACTTCGGTACGTGTGTCATTCAAGCGTGTTCCTCCCCTGCTCGCCCAGGCCGGGGTTTAGGTCCCATTAGGTGATGGCAACACTTGTTGCTGTTTGTTGTTGTCTTCACGTGCTGGTTCTTTGCTGGAAGAAGGGACCGCGCCAGGAAACTGGCAGTGGCTGCCAGGGCCGGGGGGGGCCTGCAAAGATACGCCCTGAAATTGTACCGGTGTGGGAAAACGCATTGGCAGAGGAAAGCTGCGGCGAGCTCGGGGTGCTGGGATGCCACACTCCGTCTCAGACCATCACAGCACCCAGTTTCGGCTCTGCAAGTGGGGTGTAGGGGCCGGGGGCCACCGTGACCCTGGCATGTGTTGGTTTGCAGGGTAGCGTGGCAGGGCTCGGGATGCCACCGTGCTCTGCGAGGACCCATGCCCTGCGCTGACTCACCTCGCCGCAGAGGACACCTCGAGGGACGCTGGGAGGTGGGCGCTCCCCATCCTGGCTCTGGATGTGCGCCGCATCGCTTTGGGTAAGCTCAGCCTTGGGCTGCCAGACCCCTTCCCTATGCCCTGCTGACAGGGGGGAGATCCAGCATATGCCAAAGGCTTCTTCTCGCTGGAGAAAGCCGACCCTTGTCCTTCCGGCAGGGGCAAAGGTACGGCTGGATGACGGCTGAGGATGTGCTATGGAGCTGGGATTCAACTGCTCTGAGCTCTGTGATGGCAGCTCCAGTTTTGGCAGCCAGGAGCAGCAGCAGCGGGCGCTGCAGGAGCTCTGCACTGTCACAGTGGTACGTATGGAGGCGGGGGAGTGCTCTGGGGCATGAGGTTTGCTCTGCAGAAGTGGATTTGCATGGAGGGATGGAGAGGGGGGCACAGGAGTGCAGCCACCAAGCAATCCCGGTCCAGCTGGAGGCTGCACGCTGTCACCTCCTGGGATGGCCTCCAAGACAAGCCCTGCCTAGATGACACCCAGCAGTTAGGCAGAAGGTGAGGAAGCAGCCACAACAGCCAAGTCGTGTCAAGCAGCCCTCCCGTGTGTCGGCCGGCATGACAGCCGCTTAGGAGTGGCCGGGGATGGCCTCCTCTGCCCTTGACCTTCCCCATCCCCTGGAACTTCAAAGTGCTTTTCAAATATGAATAAAGCAGGATTTAATTAAAAGCCATCATCTATAATAAATGGTGCCTCACCTCCACGACTAAGCCAGTAGAAATGACACCGGGATGCACTTAGTTGCAGTTGGCTCCGCATGAGGCTGCTGGATGGACCAGTGAGGCTTGGCCCGCTTGGCTCTCCACCGTGTCCTGCACGACCACAGGCCTTTAATTAGAAGACTGTAAGCTGCTTGGCTCCTCTGGCTCTGGCAGCTGCCTTACAATTAATATTCCCCCTGCTAGGGCCAGGATTTACTCCGCTCAGCGGCAAACGAAGCGCTCCATCAACTTCAAGTAGCATCAACATCCAGGGAAACAGCAGTCGAGGTGGGGGGGACGGGTGTTGGGAAAGGAAAGGTGGAGACCAGAGGGATGTTTCTGATCCCTGGGTGGCTGCTGGGAAGAGGGTGCAGTAACGCTTTTGGCAGCAGCCAGGGGTGGAAAGGTACTGCTGGTGGATGCAGCTGGGAGTGAAGTGTGGGAGCCCCGGGATGCCGAGTCTGCCATGCTTACCTTACTGGCAAAAGCCAGGTGTTACCCTCAGGCTCGACCAGGCAGGACGCAGAAATAGGATGGCGTTACAGCCTCGTACTGGCCCTGAGCAGCCCTGTCAGCCCCTCTGAGGTCCAGGCAGGTGGGAAGATGGCCCTGATTCGTGCCGAATGATGGGGTGTTGCACAGCGAGTCCTGGTGTACGGGGAGGGGGACTGACCTGGCTGACCATCTCCACCGTCTGGTGTGGTCTTCATTTCCCAGAGAGCCAAAAGACCCCCCAGAGAATGTGGAGAGGGAAGAGGAGGTGGGGAGCAGTTTGCAGGAGGGAGATGAATATCTCCCTAGGGATCCCTCCATGCTGCTGCAAAGCGGGGCTGAGCTGTGCATACAGCTGTATCCCAGCATAACGCAGCAGCAGCAGCATTGGCTCTCGGCTGGCTGCCTCTCCCAGCCAGGGGTTTGCCTTACCCAGCAGCCCTGCGACCAGTGTGGCACCAGCATGTGAACTGCCAGGGGCCCGCAGATCAGCCATGCTCGCGTAGCGGTGACACATTTTTGTTTTAAGAATTACGTGTTGGCTTTAATTCTCCAAGCTGTGCCTTGTTCTTGCTCGCCCGGAGGAGATGGAGCCCCGCTGGGGAAGAGGGAGACAAGGCATCGGCTCGAAACGACTGCTTTACTTCTCCCTGCAGATTTATTTCTAGCAACACTGGAAGCAGAAACAGCTCAGACCTTGAAGGAAGAATTGGGAGTTTGTGGCAGTGGCAGCTGTCGGGAAAATAGTCTGCTGCCATAGAAATTGCATGCAGGTGAACTGGAATACCTGAGAAAGGACTTAGCACCATAGAAGTTAGTGAGGAGGTGTGTGATCCCAGCTCAGTCCCCATCCTCCTCCTTCCCCTTAAAGGGGATGCACCAGCAGTTAAGTAAAAGTAATGCTTTTTTTAAAGGAAAAAAAAAAAAGTCAGTAACATGCACACATAGTATGTGTGAATGAACCCACACATGCACGCCCTGTTAAAAATGCTGGAGTGTTTTAGATCCGCAGTGGAAATAGGTTTCTTGTTTCACGTAGGATCATTTTATCCATCCTATGTTAATAAGGAGATAGCAGAGAATATTTTTAAATGGAGATTTAAAACCATAAGGTCATTTGTGCGCAAGGAGAGAGGTGCCTCCATCATACCCGCTTTGGGAGTGTCCCTCAAAAGCTAGTTCTCAGCTGATGTCTACCTAGGACCAAGTTAGTTTCCAGCCACCTAGGAGACGGGTGGAGTCCAGCTCGGTGTGTCACTGCATAACCTGTCTGAGAAACACTGTCCCACTCCCTTTTCTGTGTTTTCTGCACCGACTGGCAGCTCTGCTGCTGGCTCCCAGTCAGGTCAGCCAGCTGGTTGGTTATCTGCTGCATGTAAGGGTAAGGGTGGGAGCCAAGGGTACCCTATCCAACTTTCCAAAGAAGCATGCTACAAACTGGGGTACCACAAGGTCTTTCTCCAGAGGTTTCTTTCCGGAGAAGGACAGTGGGGAACTGTCGCCCATTTTCCCCTCTCCCATGACCAGGGCTGCCTGAGGTTTATGAGTCACTTGTATGGCTTCATTACATATTTGGCTAGTTGGCCGTAAGAAGAGGGCTCCTGTACTGCCCTCTCTTCCTGTGCGCTCAGCAAGTGGCAGAGTATGTGTCCCATCTACACACATCTCCTTAGCTCTGCCAGCGGGCCTTGGTCTCGTGCCAGGGTGTCTGCTCATGAGGAGGGGTTTGGGAGATGTGGTTTTGAGTCCTTTCTGGCTGAGCAGGAGCATCCACGGGAGTGACCGTGCCAGCAACGTCCTCTTCCTCCTCATCTCTTTTGCCTCCTCCAGACATCTTCTGACCGCAGTGGGAAGAGCTCCCCGTCCTCTGCTGCTCTCCTGGGAGTTGTGTGGACATTCCTGACCGGAGGAGTCTTGCTAGCGCTCTTCTTTCTTGTCTTCACAATTCGCTTCAGGAAAAACAGGTAAGGGCTTCCCTCTTCTGCCATGAGAGCTCCCCCAAGCTGGGGCAGTGGGGTTGGGCTCCTTCAGGGCCAAGCTCTGAGCTGATGGCTGGCTAAGGACCAGGAGCGTACAAGCCTGAAGGAGCAGCACAGGGCAAGCAAGGGCAATGCCAGGGATATTGCAGCTTTCTCAGTCACACCCAGTGTTGATCGCTGGTGGAGACAGTCCTGCTTGGACTGCTCCCTTCCTCCCCAAGTCAGGGAGCAATGAACAAGGCAGAGCATGGATGCCCTCCGGCGTAGCACAGGCAGCGGTGCATGGTCTCATCCCGAAGGTGCTATTCAGTAAAACCATCAACAGGAGTGAGCAGAAAGAGAGCTGGTCTCCTTCTCCACCCCACAGTCTTGAGAGCATCACTTTGAGCAGCATAGCTCCATGAGCAAAGCCATCATGCTCTCCACAGTGCGCACATATCCTTCCTGCTGTTGGGCCACTCGTAGTTTGAAGATATTGCTAACCTTTTTTGATCTTGGTGGTTTTCCATATTGGTGGGGAACGTGATTTCCATTGGTGGTGAAGTGCAGGCTTTCCTTGGTGCTGTTCAGTCTGCACAAAGGATGTAAAAAGTCCTGCTCCCCTGAATGCAGCATAAATCAAGCAAAAGGCTCAGCAATTCCTCATAGCCCAAACTGTCTCAGCCAGCGCTTAGCCTTCCTCAGCACTTCTGGATGTCTCGCCTGCCTCCTTGCCACCTTCTCCTCAGCTTCATTGGTCCATTGGTCTCTCAACTGCTTCCCCCAAGCAGTTACATCCCAAGTTACCCCAAGAGATACATCCCTCTCCCAAGCTTCACCTGGCAAAGCCTTTATGCTCCATGTGCCGTTGTTTTGTAGAGAGGCGCATCTGTGTGCAGCCCGGGCTGCTGCTGTTCCAGTGCTCTGGTTGTGTTAACTTAACGCTTCTTATAACCGCCGTACAGTCAGGAGGGTCCTGCTCGTAAGGGTTTATCTTGAGCCTTGTGCCTGCGGCGGTGCAGTAGCTGCATGATCTGCATCCCAGTCTCAAGCACTTGATTTACTGAAGCAGAGTGGTGTTGAGTTCGGTGGCCACCTTAATTGATTACCAAATTATTTAGGCCCTTGAAGATATTCTCAGAGCAAAGCTGTAATGAATGTGTGTTATCTATTTGCACTGCAGCAATAAATATGAGTCTACCTACTGAACCTAGGAGGGCAAAGACCACCTTTTTCAGTGTGCAGCTAAGAGGGTGAGCTGGTGAATATCTTTCCCCAGGGGCTGAGGAATGGTGAAAAAGGCAGGGAGGGAGAGAGCCAGGTTGAATCCCAGGCTCTGCGTCTGCGAGGCAGCAAGCCAGGAAGGAGCTCAAGGGTAGAGAAATGCAATGACGTAGCAGCAGATCGAAGGGACGGAGCTACGCAGGGGGATGGCAGGAGCTACAGTTTTCACTTGATGGGCTTGCTGGAGGAGGGTGACAGGTCAGGAGAGATTGGTGGGTCGATTCTCCCCTCACTGAATACAGTTACAGGATTATGAGTGATGGGGTGAAATTACAGAGGGGAAGCTGTAACCTGAACACTGCTGGCAGCTTCCTGAAGTTGAGACTGTGCTGAGGCTGGAGGTATCTCCTCAAAGGAAGGAGCAGTGAGAAGAGCCTGTTCCTGGAGGCATTTGTAGCTGCTGTACCCAAAGCTTACTGCTGGGGACAGTCACCCCCGGGCTGTGTTGGTGAGGTTTTCCATTTCCACCCCTTTACAGCAGAGGACAGTGGAGGAAGATGTTGGCCTTGAACCTGAGGGGCTGAGCTGGGCGCTGTGCTGCGTGCCACCTGCATGACCGTGGGGCATTGCTTCCCCTGGCTCTGTGCCGCTGCGGGGATGTGTGGCCACAGCACGTGCTGGCACCGCTGCACAGTTTTGCGTGCCTGGCACAGGCATGGGTAGCAGAGAGACCTGGCTGTGGTGACCCTGTCTGCTTTACTGCTAAAAGCCCGCGGCTTCCCACAGTTTTGTCCATAAAGACGCTGACTGAAGCTGCCTCAGGGATGCTTTTCTGTGCCACAGATCCATGCCGGGGGTAGAGGTGCCATGAGGCAAGCCTGGTACCCATGCGTTTTGGGGAGAAGGGATCTTGCTGTCCCACAGAAATGTCGGGGTAGGGCAAAACGAAAACTTTAAGGATAGTGAAGCTCTCCAGCAATACGGGGAGAGGATGGGATATGCACCATGGAGCAACAGCTGAGCTTTTGGAGGAGCCGTGAACAGCAGGGGCTGGGCGGGGACAGTGTGTCAGCATTCCTTATGGCCATCATCATCCTTGTAAGGGGACCTTGCCCCTCTGCTGCCAGGTCAGGTCATGATGCTCAGTAACTGTCACCGCCTTCCCTGCTTTGTTTCCTGGAGGATCGTGAAGATGTCCAGCCCCAATCTGAACATTGTGACCCTGCTGGGCAGTGGCTTGACTTACGCTAGTGCTTACCTCTTTGGGATTCAGGAGCAGAGCCTACTGTCCGGAGACTCGGTGGAAAAGCTTATTCAGGTGAGCAGGGGGTTTGCTGGGACGGGTGCCTTCACACATGCACACACGTGCATGCACACACGTGCATGTACATGCATGCTTGTACATGCTCTCTCTTAGCTGCAGCCTGTCGCCACCTCGCTGCTGGGCGTATTCAGGCAGGCTGTGGTTTCCACATACACAAAACGCAACCAGATGCTTTCCGTCTGAATGGCCTTTGCTGTTTGTGCAAACCACAGCCGCACCGGGGCGGGGGGGGAGGCAAGGCAGGTCCCCAGGGGAGAGGGCAGCGCCTGCGGCAGCTGCCCCACAGGCAGGCAGGCTGGCTGCTGGGCTTGTGCAGCAGGGAGAGGGGAGCCTGAAGGGAGATGGGATCCTCTGCACAGCCACTGCCTGACCTGGCAGAGGTGCCGCGAGGTTGCAGGTGAGTTTTTTGGCTGCAAAGCAGGTCTTCATCAAAACACTGACCTGTGTGATGAACCCCCACGTCCTGACCTTGGGCAGCCGCCCTGCCAGACCGGGGACTGGGCATGCACCCGGGTGGGAGAGTGGGATGTGAGAGAGAGCACACCCTGCTGTCCTGCTCCACCGACGGGCTGAGGATAATTAACGGAGGTGCCAGTGAGTGATTTATTGGTTCTGGGACCCTCCGTGCCCCTGTCGCTTGCAAGCTGCCTGGCTCTCCCTGCCTGCTCCTCCGACGAGAGCTTCTCAGGATGGGGAGGAAAAGGCAGGCAGCAGGCATGCCTGCAGAGGAATACACACCTTTTAATTTACTTTGCTCTGCGGTCAGCTTTCTAGTATCTGATAGGACCCTCCAGAAGCCAGAAGACCATAGACACATCCCCACCCATCTTTACCGCATCCCTGAGTGGGAGAGCGTGGGGTGTCCCTGCGATCCCCATGGCTGCCCCTTCAGCCCCCTCGCTTTGCCCCCCCTGGCAGGTCCGTCTCTGCCTGCTGTGCGTGGGGACCTCCCTGGTGTTTGGCCCCATCCTGGGGAAAAGCTGGCGGCTCTACAAGGTGTTCACCCAGCGGGTGCCGGACAAGCGGGTGGTGAGTACACAGCACCCAGGGGGAGGCAGAGTCCCCAAGCAGGATGAACACTAGCAAGTCCCAAACTGGTGCAGGATAGCAGATAAAACTGGCACGTGACAGGGATGGGTGCCACAATCACAGGTTTGCTTTCACACCTAGGTGGGTTTGGGCTCCTCATTTATTCTTGCGCAATGAGGCAGGAGCTTTTCCACTCTACAGGCAAGCGGGTGCCCTGCCAGGCTGCCTGTTCCCCGGTGGAGTCCCAGCCGCATCACTGTCTGATCTCTGTGGACAAAGTTGGTGGGCGGTCAGGCATTTGGAGGGCTGCCCCCAGATGCATCTGATCTCCTCTTGAAGGGAGGGAAGGAACTCCTCTGCAGCGCTGAAGAAAGGGTATACAGCAGCTGGGAGGGAAATGGGAGCCACCTATTTGAGCGTATAACGGTGCACTTACAGCTTTCGCTGGCCACTTTCCAATGGTGAAAAAAGTAGGTCTCAGAGGAAAGGTGAGATGAGAGGGGAACTGGGTATCAGCAGGGACTCCCATTCCTGAGGCACTGGGATCTGTGTTAAACTTGCAAAATTATAATCCTACCAGCCTTTTTATTTTTTTTCCCATCACCCTTTTTGTCTCTGCTTGTGATATGGGCATAAGGGATGATACTCTTGTTTTGGAAGAGCTGTTTTCTGTCATAGCATTTACCAGCTAGCCACACCATCAGGGAGGGTTTATACCTGTCCCCAAGCCCAATTAGGTCTCCAAGAGTTTGGGAGCTGGAGACAGAGATCCTGTGGCCAACTTGGATGTAGGTGAGCCGCTGGACTCCACTCTGGGAGAAGTATTAGGATGGACGTGTCCCTTGGAAGAAACAACCAGAAAGCGAACCGGGAGACAGAGGATATTGGTGTCCATTAGCCCCCCCTGGTAATGCTTACTTCTTGTGTTTTTACAGATTATCAAAGACCTCCAGTTGCTGGCAATGGTGGCAGCATTGGTGCTGGCGGACGCCGTGTTACTCTTGACATGGGTATTCTCTGATCCGGTCCAGTGTTTTCGAAGCCTCAGCGTCTCACTGCGGGTAAAGGGATGAGGAGGGGCGGTGGAGTGTTGCTCTGTGTCTTGTCTGATCTCTGTGGACAAAGTTGGTGGGCGGTCAGGCATTTGGAGGTGCTGTTTAAACAAATAGAAAGAAAAACAAGCCAGAAAGCCTTCTGGGCACTCCGAGTTGGGTTTATGTCAGGCCTATTACAGAGATGAGGTTCCGCTGCAAAATTTCCAGGTCTGTGCACCCAAACCTGGCAAGGGATAGCTGGTTGTAGGGCTTTGGTTTGCCAAGCAGTGGGGTCTGGTGGATGATCTTCACCAGCCCGTGCAGGTCCAGCTGGGTGACACAGGAGAGGTCCACGGCATCTGCAGATGCTTTAGAGAAAGGTTTAACTGGCCCTGTTGGCAGCAGAGTGCCAAAATCTTCCTCGCTTTAACCCTCTGCCCCTGGTGGCACCAGCTTTGGCCTTTCCTTTTAGGAATTTACAGAGGAGACCTGCTCAAACGTGTAGACCTGTCTGCCCATCGGTCTGTGCCTGCTCCCGGGCAGCAGCCTTCACTTCTGCCTTCCGCTTGCCTCCTAGGTGACAGAGAAAGGCATGGCCTGCTCAGTGAGCCAGGTGCAGTCCTGTGCATCTCTTTATTCTGATCTTTGGCTCGTTCTCATTTTAGGGTTTAAGGTACGTAACCTCTTTATTGATTCTTGCGTTGTATATCGCCTCCTCCCAGTCTCACAGCCTAAACTGTTCAGCAGCATTCGTTGTTTCGCTGCCCTCCCAAGCTACGTGCCTATTGCAGATTCCAGCTACTCCTGTTCATCTTGAAAGCCCTCCCATCTCCAGTCCTTCCCATCCTGATGTTTTCTTGCATTCCCTTGTAAAAGCCCTGTTAGCCACTTTTTTCCCTGCCTCACCATCTCTTTTACATACACTGTGCACATACTGTCTCTCTAGTTGTCTCCCTGCAACCCCCCACCTCATCTGTCTCCCTGCTTAAAACTTGTGTCTTACTGTTTTCTAAAGCACGCTTTTTCCATAAAGCCTCAGATGACCATCCACTGCAGTGATGCACTTTGCAGCTCAGCCCGAGTCCTCTGACTCCAAATCAGGGAGGTGCTGATGACAAGTGCTTGGTGCCTACCTTTACAGGATGTGTACCAGCTTAATTATACCACTGAGGTACACTTTCACTGGTGTAGCTTTGCACGTCGCCGTTCTTATTCCAGAAGAGTTAGTTATACTGATGTAACTATGTAGGTATAATTATTGCTGTAATTATCTGTGGTCTCATGTGTCTCTGGGTTGGCAGAGGCTGGACGCATTTCAGAAAGCTGATGTTCGTGAAGCTTGTGAGATCACAGCCCTTCTTTGGGAATGGTTCCATCTCTGCGTGCAGTACATGCAGTTCCTTTCTGACTCACTGTAATACAATACTCATTGACCATCTACCCAAGATCGTAGGAAAAAGAGCAGGAAGAGACCTCATGACACGGCCAAGTCCTTCTCCCCCTACACTTCATTTTAAAGACATTAGTCTAGCTTGTCCTTAAAAGTCCTTTGGTGCTAGGGATTGCAGGCGTTCCCTGGGCTTTCAGTGCTGTGTCTCCACCTCTGATTTTGTCGGCAGTTTGTGTTAGGGTTTAGACAGGTAATGCTTTTGCCTACAGCTCCTGCAAACTGCTTTTTGGAATAAAACATTCCCATTACCAGTCCCAGGTACTCTTTGTTAGCGTTGCATTGAACCTGACCCTGATCCTATCTACCTACTGGGGATCATGGAGTTATTTCTTCAGTGGTTTCTCTGGAGTTAATCTGGATTTACACTAATGTGAGAGTAGGCTCTATATCTGCGTGTACATAGCACTTCTTATCTTCCACAGTATTAACGTGCTCAGCCCTTTGTGAAGCCACTCAGGGTATTATCCTGGTTTTACTGGCACAGAGCAATGAACAGAAATTACTTGCCAAGGACATGCCTGGAATTAGGAGCAAAGGCGTCTGCTCAAGATTAAAACAAGCAACCAAACAAAAATCTTAGTACTGTGCTTAATGAAAGTTTACCAGACGGCAGTGCTGTTGTCTGTGTCCCAGATAGACTATTTGAATTTTAAATGTGACTTTGGTGCTGTTTTTTTTTCTTCCTCGGGGATTAGGAGTTGGCTTGCCTTTGGGCCATGTATTTGGAGGTGCCGTGTGGTGAATGTGGTTAAGATCCAGTGCAGATCCTACGAAGCAGGGTCGGGCATCAGCCTAGTTCCCAGCAAGGCAGGTCTCACTATTACAACCCCTCCTTGAGAATTCATGGTGCTCTGACGTTGGGAGTCTCACCAAAGACCATGGACGTGATCCTCTCTTGCCTGTAAGAGTGTCCCTCCAGACCCTAACCCTGGCAGTGGCCATCACGGTCATCAAGCAGCCACAGCATGGAGGGGTCCAGAAGGGTCTACAGAACATCTGCACCACAGCTCACAAAGCACTTCTTGATGCCCAAACAACAATTTAATGTCTCTTAGTAAAAGGTCGACAGTTGCACTTACTGGGTAGCACAGGAATAATGTAGGAGTCGTGTTCCCAGAATTCTGGGTCCTTGCAGGAGCAGGGATTTTGTTAGATGGTATTTCCAAATGATCCTGAAGGCAGACCATGCCCTGCGCCACAGAGGCAGGCAAAAAATACTTGCTGTTTCCTGCCAGTGTGCCCTAGGGAAGGAGGGATTCAGCCTGCCGGGTAGTTTAATCCTGAGCACACTGGAAAGATGCATGCGTGGAACACTTGAGGGGCAGCGCGGTGAGGAAGCTTGCTCTGAAACAACCAACCTGCTCCGGGGGAAGGGAGGGCCTCTGCGTACAGAGCACTTCTCTAGCCCCTTTCACTGCTGCTAGAGTCAGGCAGGAAATGGCGAAGGGAAGGGAGAAGAATTGCACCTGGTAGTTTCCTGGATTTCTATTTAAAGAGGCACCAAGTACATCCTCTTCCCTCCAGTCTAAACCTCCACTTTTTCTGCCTTGCTTTTTCCTTCTGAATGTCCTTCTGAATCTCCTTCCTGCTCCTTCAGAGGTATGTTGTTGCTCCCTGATGGCACCCCACCGCTGCATCCCTGCAGGGACCTCTGTCTCTTGTCTGTCCATCTTTGCTGCTCCTGCTCCAGGCTGCCCAAGGGGAGGTTTTCACGTCTTGCCTCTCCTGGCCATGCCCTGCTCCGTGGCATTGCCTGCCGACCTGACCCTCAGCTCCTCGCACCCCTCGGTCAGGACCCCCATGGCCCACCAGCGCCTTCGCTCCTACCCTCCCTCCCCAGCCCCACTTTTGACCTGCAGCAGTGTGTCGGGCGTTTGCTGCGGCGTCACCACCACACACTGAAGGTCTGCATTATAGATCAAAGAGCATTAATTAGGATTGCGCTGAGTGTGTCTGAGCTCACCGGGCTCAGTACGAGGTGGGGGTTGACACCGTCAGGTTGTAATTTTCCACACTCTGGAAACCTTTTTCTTCTGCTTCCAGAGTATCCTCCTGCTGTATGGGACCTACTTGGCCGGTCTGACCGACAACATCAGCTCCCCGCCAGTCAACCAGTCCTTGACACTCATCGTCGGGGTCAACCTCGTTTTCCTGGCTGCCGGCACTGTCTGCTTAGTTCACCGTTTCTTCCGCGCTTGGCACAACTTGCTGTTTGGTTTTACCTCTGGAGGCATCTTCATGTGTACAACCATAATCAACTGCTTCATCTTTGTCCCACAGGTATGCTGCCACCTCTGTCCCGCCACCTGGCTGGAAACAAGCACATTTTCGGAGTTTAACAACAGCAGCTGTGTGGGCCAAAGCACTTATTTTCCTGCTTCTTTCCCCAAATGTTCGGGCTCACCTACACAGCTTATCCTCCAAGCCCCAATGGCTCTGCTTCCCCAGGCAAGTCCCCTGAGTCTCCAGGTAGTGCAGGTGCATCGCAGAGCTGCTGCTCAGAAACCCTCCTGAAAAAGCGTGCTTGTGGGTGGCAGCCACACAGAGGGCATGCGTGGAGGTGAGGCGGCTGCTGCCCTCCTCCTCCTCCATGTGGATGGTGGAATCGGTCCTTCATGCAGTTGTCCTCTCCTCATACCCCACGCACCCACTCCCACCAAGGGTTTCTGCCCACAGCAGGGATGGAGGTGGGCTCCAGCAATCCAGATGGCCTCGCCAGGCTCTGAGGCTTTGTGGCTGCTGGCGGTCCCCAGGCGAGGCTGTCCTCCCCTGCGCTCTTGGAGGAGGAAGCTGGGCTTTGCCGCAAGCGAGGGGGAGGACGCGGAGATGTTTTGAGGAAGCCTTTTGTGGCAAGGCAAGGCTCTTCTGCTTCCCGTGTCCTCCAGGAGCAGCCTGGTGTGCCTGGCCACAACGTTAGTGGGAAAAATGCTCCCATTGTTACAGGGAAAGGAAACAGTTGTTTACTCAGTGTTATGTTTGGAGGGATGTTTGGGCTCGAGGAAATGAGGTGAGAAAGGGAGGAAGAGGTGAAGCTGAAGAAAGAGCAGATCTGTGCAAGAGAAGACTCAGGGGATCTCACCAATGTGCATAAATACCTATGGGGATGGAGTAGGGAGGGGGAGCCAGGCTCTTCTCAGTGGTGTCCACTGACAGGACAGGGGACAATGGGCACAAACTGAAACGCAGGAAATTCTGTTTAAACATCAGAAAAAGGTGGGGTTTTTTCTGTAAAGTTGTAAAGCACTGGAGCAGGTTGCCCAGAGAGGTTGTGGAATCTGCATGCTTGGAGATACTCAAGACCCAGCTGAACACGGTCCTGAGCAGCCTGCTCCACCTTGCTTGAGCAGGGTGGTTGGACTAGATGATCTCCAGGGGTCCCTTCCTACCTCAGTCGATGCAATATAACTGCAGAGTCCCAACTCACTAGTTGACCAGCCCATGGGAGCAGGATCCAAACCTCCTCTGACAAGCACCAAGCCAGCTGGAGATGCTCTGCCAAGCGCGAGGTCTCTCGGAGTGAGGGTGGAGGAGCTGATGAGCTGTACTTGCATTCTGCCTGTACCATTTTTCTGCTGTAGCCTGGGGGCCTTGAACATTTTATTTAACTTGGATCTTTTAATTCATCAACTTGTTTTTCCTAATGGGCTTGCTCTTCTATTGCTCATCCGAGATCGATGAGCAGCTGGAGCTGGGCTGCACAAGGCTTCCACACAGACATGAGACGAGAAAACGGATACTAAGCGTTGAGGGTTTTCAGCTTGTCACTGGTGATTCGGGGATAAGGAGGCATGCATGACACTGTCTTTGTCTGTCACAGAGTCGGGGAGCGGGGAGAAGGGGGAAGGGGCTTTTACAGCACTCGTAGAGGTTGCAGCGCAGGCAGACACCGACCCTCTCTGCATTAAAAGCTGGAGCCAGGGACAGGGTAGGGCTCAGATGGGTGGGAGGCTCTAAGCGATGCTGCAGCCCCTCGCCCAGCCATCTCTCGCCGCCTGTCTCTGTTCCTCCGTCACACCCTGCCTTTGTCTCCCCCTCTCCATCCCTTTGTCTCCTTCATGCTCAAGCTGTGCCTGCCTCCTGCCACATCAGCGGGGGCTGTGCATACCGCACCGATAACGCCCTTTCTACTCCCCAGCTCAAGCAGTGGAAAGCCTTTGAAGAAGAAAGCCAAACCGTGAGCCACATGGCAAAATATTTCACCAGTCCGAGCAGGAGCTGCCGCTCAGTGTACAGCGAGGAGCAGCTCTACCAGCTGATAGGGGAGAAAAACTCCATGAAGCGGCTGCTCACCGAGGTATGGGGCTCTGCCAGCCCCGCTCGGCCGTGCTGGCTTCTCCCCTTCCCTTTTGTGGGCTGAAGGCTTTGCAGGGTGGGAAGCCCTTCCTTACACCCCAGTCCACACTGGCGCTCCCGCTCCAGCCTCTTCCCTCTGGAGGGGAAGAGCCGCTTTGTTTTGTCACATCACTCTGCACCCCAAAGCACCAAAATTTAGGCACAATCTGGAGGGTTTCAAAAAAACACGGAGGGAGAAGAGCAGGAGAGCCTGGTTTCCACAGCCCAGTCAAACATGGCTAATTTAGAGGGGAGATGCTCTGTCTCAGGAAAGCCCCCAGACTCCTGCTCCCTCGCCCACACTGCATCGGCGGGAGCGCCCCGGCTCGGAGAGCCACCTGCCCTGGTGCCCCCCTTCCCAAACCTGCATCTGGGGGGCTCTGGGGGGCTCCAGGGGAGGAAGAGGTCGC